AGAGTTATCTGTACCTCTATACTCCTATACAGTATACCAGCATCAAGTAATGTAGATTGTTGGATCTTTTTAATCAGATGGCTCATATTTGTTGGTTTGTGTCCGAGAACTGTGTGGCCTAGTATATATATCAAACGGTCCCTATTGTAGGGATTCGATCTAGGTGATCTCACTATGCTGCCAGCTAGCCATTGTCAAGCGAAGTTTGTTGGCTGGACGTGATTCTCTAGTTGTTATTCGGAAATTTCTGGCTAGCTCCTGTGATAGAATACACCAACCACGCGATTCTTCAATTGCTATCCGGAATTTTCTGGCTAGCTCCCATAATAGAGTACACCAACCGCTAGAGTAGTACTCCTAGCAGGGCAGCTATTACTAATAGGCAGTGCGCGCTTCTTCAGTTGGTTCTACTAGTAGCCTCGAACAAGTCTTCCATGTCTCCTTTTAAGATTCCCCCTTGCTTCCTCGTTTTATTTTCAACTTCTATTCTTTGGGCTAGTAGTGGCAGGGATGGTGAAGCTTCATCGAACACAATGACATTGTGGTGCTTCTCTTAACTCCCACACTATAAGAACAAAGATTGCACACATGTCTTTTTTGTATAGGTCTGCCCCAGCTTATTAATGCACCATTCCTCCAATCTTGACCCCCTCAGGGGCACCCAGTCCGGTTTGTTGAGAGCTAGGAAACGAGAGTCCAAACCTCTCCCGTCTAGTAAGATGTGATTAGTGGTCTCCTTCTCCTACGCACAAAATGGACAAGCCTCCTGGTGCTCCAGTCCATGGCTTGCAAGTCTATCTGAATTGCAACGCCTGTTTTGTAGAGCTAGACAAAGAATTTGCATTGTAACGGGGCTTAGATTTCCACGTAAATTCAATAGTGGGGATTACCTCTCTGCCCGAGAACTTTGCCGCATATGCTAACCGAGCCGAGAACTCTCCATTTGCCTCCCAAGACCACGATATTGAATATATGGCATCCTGATCGAGTTGTACACGCGTCTTTTGCGTCCACAAAGTAGGAGACTACTGCAATATTTGGACTTCTTTTTATGACACCAATATGGCAGCATTAGAGCATTTCCAATAACTACCCACTTTTGGAGCACGAAAACAGGGTGTTGTAAAAAATGGGCATGAAAACAACTTTTTGGGGGCACGAGCAAGCACCGTCACCAATAGCTACCCTATCCGCATGGGAACCTCATTTATATCTTTCATCTTTATTCATACATATTGCACACACAAAAATATCAAACGCATAGCAATATCTTCCTCCTCAATCAAGTCAAATTCCTCATCCGATAAGGATTCGTCACAATAACTGGAGTCATGTGAACTCATCTACAATACGAAACTATCTATAAAGCTACAATTCTACAAATGCACAAGAAAAACGCAAACAATTTTTCCCTTTGGACAAATTTCGTCGAACACCTTGTGGGCGAGGAGGAGATATCCGGCCGATGGGTCGTCAGAGGCTACTGGATCCCGGGAGGAGATAAAAACGGCCACGGGAGGGGGGGGTCCTCCAACAATGTGGGGGAAGGCCGTTATGCAGACAAAAATTGGCAACGCCGCGCCATCGAGCCCCAAGCTCGTGGTCGATCTGCTTTGTCGCGGCAATGGGGCAACATGCTACGTGTTGGGGAACGTAGTAATTCAAAATTTTGCCTACGATCACGCAAGATCTATCTAGGAGAAACATAGCAATGAGCGGGAAGAGTGAGTCCACATACCCCCATAGACCGAAAGCGGAAGCATTAAGTAACGCGGTTGATGTAGTCGAGCGTCTTCACGATCCAACCGATCAAGTACCAAACGCACGGCACCTCCGCGATCTGCACATGTTCAGCTCGGTGACATCCCTCGAACTCTAGATCCAGCTGAGGCCGAGGGAGAGTTTCATCAGCACGACGGCGTGGTGACGGTGATGATGAAGTTACCGATGCAAGGCTTCGCCTAAGCACTACGACAATATGACCGAGGTGGAAATCTATGGAGGAGGCACCGCACACAGCTAAGAGATCAACTTGTGTGTCTATGGGGTGCCCCCCTCCCCCCGTATGTAAAGGAGTGGAGGAGGGGGCCGACCGGCCTCCTAGGGCGCGCCCCAAGGGGGGAATCCTACTCCTACTAGGAGTAGGTTCCCCCCTTTCCTAGTCCAACTAGGAGGGGAAGGAAAGGGAAGAGGGGAAGAAGGAAAGGGGGGCCGGCCCCCCTCCCCAATTCGGATTGGGCTTGGGGGGCGCGCCCCTCCTCTTGGTTGCCTCCTCCTCTCTTCCACTAAAACCCATGAAGGCCCATTAACCCCCCGGGGGGGTTCCGGTAACCCCCGGTACTCCGGAAAATGCCCAAACCTATCTGAAACCTTTCCGGTGTCCAAACATAACCTTCCAATGTATCAATCTTTATGTCTCGACCATTTCGAGACTCCTCGTCATGTCTGTGATCACATCCGGGACTCCGAACAACCTTCGGTACATCAAATCACATAATTCACAATACATATCATCATCGAACGTTAAGCGTGCGGACCCTACGGGTTCGAGAACTATGTAGACATGACCGGACTCATCTCTGGTCAATAACTGAAAGTGCGTTATATCGACTAGAGGGGGGGTGAATAGGCGATTTTTATGAATTCTTCACTGAGGAATTTGCGGGTGAGGAAATTCCTGAGTGAAGAACTACTTGCAGCGGAATAAGTACTCAGAAGTAAACATAGCAGTGCATGAGCATGGTCTCCATGATGAAATGAAAACAAGTACATAGTACAGAAAGCGTAAACACAGGATAACACATGATAAGACAAACAGACTGAAGAAATTGAACTGAGGAGATAGAGGAAGTCTTCAGTCAAAATCTTCAAACGGATATGAACAAGCACTCAACACATAAAAGAGGAAATGAAAGGGTTGAGGAAATGGAACCAGGTAACTTGGTGAAGACAATGATTTGGTAGACCAGTTCCAACTGCTGTGACAGTTGTACGTCTGGTTAGGGCGGCTAGGTATTTAAACCTGAGGACACACAGTCCCGGACACCCAGTTCTGAACAGGCAGTTCAGAACACTCAGTCCTCACCGTATTTCCCTTCAGCTAAGGTCACACAGACCTCGCCCAATCACTCGTGGTAAGTCTTTAGGTGACTTCAAAACCTTCACAGACTTGGTCACTCGACGATCCACAATTTCCTCTTGGATGCTCTAGACCATGACGCCTAACCGTCTGGAAGATGCACAGTCTTCAAAGGTAACAAGCGTCGGATCCACGCAGGATCAATCTCTTCAGTGATGCTCAATCACTTTGGGTTTGTAGGTGTTTGGGTTTGGGTTTTCCTCACTTGATGATTTTCACTCAAAGTCCTCGGAGGATGGGATGCTCTCAAATGACAAGTGTCAGTTTCTCTCGGAGCAGCCAACCAGCTAGTGGTTGTAGGGGGCGGCTATTTATAGCCTAGGGAGCAGCCCGACGTGATAAGACATAAATGCCCTTCAATGATATGACCGTTAGGTGGAAGGATATTTTGGGACAGCTGGCGCATAGCACAGCAACGGTTGGAAATTTGACTAACAAATTCCTCAGGGCTATCATGTTCCTCACTGTGTAGGCAATCCGCACTCGCGAATTCCTAACTCCTCAGTCAGAACAAATTCCTCAGAGACCAGAAGAACTTCGTCTCTGTCACTGAAGAAATTTGACTGAACTGTATGAGATTTCCAATGGCTTCACTCGAAAGGATTGGTATGTAGGATTTGAGTTGAGCATCACATGGAAATTTTTTCCTTAGTATTTCCTTGACCCCCTTTAACAGTACGGTGTTTCCTATGACTCAAGAAAGAGAAAATGAAACTGCGAAAACAAAAGTCTTCATGCTTCATGCTCCTCGAATGAATACCAAGTCTTCA